GAACGCCGCCAGCGACGAGAGCATGACGACATCCTCCTCTTCCTCCTCCATGCCATCCCCAGCCTAGCCGGCCACGTGGGTGCGCGCGCGCTCATTCACAGGAGCATGCGCATTGAATCATCTAAACGTCACTTGACGTGTTTAGCAACGATACATAAACCGGCCCTACTTCCTTGACAACTTCATTTTGTCTTTTTTGGCAGCTGCGCTAGTTGTGCTGCTTTCGAGCAGAAAAGAAAGGAGATTTTGTTGTTTAGCGAGTCGCCCGAGGCCAGTAATGTAGTCGGCCGTCGTCTCTAACAGTAAAGTGCACGCTGTGAGTGTTGTCGCAGTGTAGGTAGTAGAGTGTGTCCAGAGCTGAGGGCGAGCAGTAACGTAGCTAGTTGTAGTGTCGTCTCTTCCAAGAAAGTGTAGGCTGTAGTCAGATAGCGAGAGAGAGTCGGTAGTCGGAGAGAGTGGCCAGAACTGACGGCCACTAGCTCCTCCAGCCATGGCCTCCCCTCGCCCCTCGCCTCACGGCAAAAAATGTGAGCTGATTCCCTTCTCTACTTCTTTCTACTATTTTTAGTAGATAGGTTCTGAACTAAAAATACCCATAACCAAATAAGGAAGTGCAAAAACTACAATTTCCGCCCACAGAATTGTTTCGTGAGAAAGGGGTTAAATTTGTTTTGCTGCGTTGCAGTGGGCAAGGGGTTAATTTGATAGCATAGTAGTTGAGGGGTTAAAGAGAGAGGGTTAAATGTCGTGTGGTTGTCTCTGGTGTGTAGATATGATGTTCACCAGAAACAATGTCCAGAGAGCTGTCAGGAACGTGAGGGTGACTGATAGTCTGGGGCTCTATTTGGGTGTCCCTGAGAGGAGACGGAGGAAATTGAGAGTCAGTTCAGAGGAGATGAGGGACGACAGGTGGAGAAATATGTCACCTACTTCATGGACCACGACCCACTAGCCTCCTGGAGACGAGTTATTGTTGTTCTTGATGGGATTGGAGAGAAAGAGGCTGCAGATAAGATACGACATCTGGCGGAGTCTGTCACAGGTGAGGAAAAGAAAAGTGCCTGAGGCTATTTGTTGTTGTGGTCGTCTTGGAAACGATGTATCTGACGTGGTTACTGATGTGTGTATTGCCATGTTATGTCCTACTCTCTGTGCAGACCCCACACTCACTATCAACAACCTCCGTCACGTCACCTCTTCAGTCCAGGACTGGTATCGTCTGGGGGACTATTACTATGGTCTTGGTGTTCCTTATCCTGTGCTGGATGAGATCAGGAGGATCCTGCCCTGACAGAGGAGGAGAAGAAAACAAAGGTCCTACTCTACTTCCTCCACAATGTCCCCGATGGCCTCCTGGGAGAGAGTTGCAGGAGCACTGTACTGGAGGAAGGAGGAGAGGGCATTACAGGCAGTGAAGGAGTTCCTGCCAGTCTCACCAGGTCAGTCCGCTGTGTCGTCATAACCTCGCCGTCCCTAGCAACAGCTATGTTCTCCCGTGGTTACCGTGACCTTTGACCTTCAGTATGAATCGTGCAGCCCTTCGTTCCGTTTGCCGTTTTCCGCGGCTGTATATTGTTTTGCCTCGTGTATCGTTTCGTTTATATGCCCCGACTGTCCCGTCCAACGCGGTCCGAGTCGTTTATGCGCCTTGACTGCCGTCGACGGCAGCGATTAGCGTTCGAGTTCTTTAGCGATCTGGGGTTACGCCCACTTTTGAAAAACGCGTCCCAGGGCTTCTCCTTGTCGTAAGGAGGCGGCCTCGAGAACGAAAACGCGACTGGAAAACGGAAGGCGCTCCAGCGAGGCTGGCTTTCTTCGAGGAAATAAGCGGCACTTCGACTCCGCGTGGTACTTCGCGCACGGTATGTATATACGGAACGGAACGGTATGCGAACGTTATGGAACGCCGTTCGTTAACGTTACACCCCAGTTTAGTGTGTTATGGTAGCAATCGTGACTTGCATGAAGCAGAAAGACTTGCCTGGCGTTGTCAGCAACCAGCAGCTTGTTACACAAGAATTTCTCTCTCCTGTTGTGTTCCCAGAGGCCAGTCTCACTCCAGAGAACCTCTCCACAGTTCTAGACATCATGAGTGACGGTCTGTGGAGGAGTTTGGTGGATATGCCAACATACCAGACTCTGAGATGGACAGGATCAAGGCACAGTGTACCAGTGACAGAGAGTGCAAACAGGCCCTCATTCACTCCTTCATCTCCTCACATCCAGCACCATCCTGGACTCTGGTGGCATGGGCTCTCTACATGACTGAGTGGACGAGGGTGACGGCAGTAGTCTCAGAGCATTGGATCACCTGCAGCAGCTGTTCCCCACTGGTACAGTGGACTTTCTTGGTTGGTTGACACTCCCTTCAACATGTACACTTTACTCCCATGCAGGAAGATTCCGCTCCAAACAGATCTACGAGCAGGAGATGAAACGAGGCCACATTGAGCTGGACCTGGACAAAATGCTGCTGTTTGGCACGGCTGGCAGTGGCAAGACGTGCTCCCTCGCTGCACTGCTCGGAGTGGACCCTCCCACCATCCGACACAGCACTCCAGTCATGAAAAGACCCATCGAGGTCGTGTTCGTGGACGTCGACGGCAAAAAACAGTGGAAGAAACGAACATTAGACCAACTGCCAGACGCCATCGCTGAAGTAATCGGTCGCGAATGCCACGGCAACAGTCAGTGGCACAGAGCAGTGGTGGCCCAGCCTCCCCCGACCAGCAGTCTCCCCACACCGCAGCCAGCCAGTCAGCTCAGCCAACTCCAGAGAAGAGGAGTAGCTCCACGTCTGAAGCAGCCGGGAAGAGCACAGCATCCTCGGAGGAGAAGCCCAGCGCCAGGGAGCGGCAGGAGGCAGAAGGGAGGCTGGATTCCCTGCTGCTGTCGAGTGCGGTGGACGAGGGGTTTGTACATCTCATCAACAGTGCTCCTCCCTCCCTGGAGCCCATCCTGCGACTGAAGCAGTTCCTCGTGCTGGACTCTGGCGGCCAGCCCGAGCTTCTGGAGATGATGCCCGTCTTCCTGAGGGGTGCGTCCAAATTCGTCTACGTCTTGAAGCTCCATGAGTCTCTAGACAAGCGAGCGATGATCCGTTACTTCAAAGACGGCAAGCTAGTGTGGGAGTACCCAGCCTACCTGACCAACGAAGGGACCCTGAGACTGTGCGTGCGGACCATGAGCTCCCTGAACAACAAGAACCCCGACATCCCTCCCGCCAAAATGATGTTTCTGGCCACCCACCGAGACATGGTGGCAGACGAGCAGCTGCCCGGAGTGCTGGACACTCTGCACAAGAAGCTGAGGGAGATCCTCTTGCCTCAGTTCAGGGAGCAGCTCATCTACTGCGATACGAAACGGGACGACTTTGTCTTCACACTGAATGCGGCAAAGCCAGAGAAGGAGGACAGGGAGTGTGCGGAGAGCATTCGGGAGTGTCTCAGTGAGGTGGGGGAAGGGGGAAGGGAGGTGAAAGTGCCGTTGCGATGGTACGCTCTGTACCAGAAGCTGCTGGAGGTAGCAAATGAACTGGGGAAGAAGGTGCTGCCTCGAGAGCTGTGCCAGCGGGTGGCAGAGTCGATGGAGATAGATGACGAGTCATGTGGGGAAGCCCTGAACTTCTTTGACGGTCTGAACATGCTGTTCTACTTCCCCGACATCCTGCCCCAGCTGGTGTTCATGGAGCCACAGATGTTGCTGGATAAGGTCTCGGAGCTGGTGGAGGAGACCTACCACATGAGGCAGGGAAAGAAAGGCGTGCGGGGGAGAAGCTGAGGTTCCGTGACCACGGCGAAGTGACGGAAAAGTTTCTGGGCGAGTTCGAGAGCCACTACGAGCCACCTCTGTTCACACCCAAGGAGCTGGTGACCCTGCTAAAGGGGTTGCTGGTGTTTGCGGAGATGTCGGAGGACGTGTACTTCATGCCGTGTCTGCTGCAAGTGGTGGCGTGGGAGGTGGTGGAGGAACACCGAGTGAGTGGCGGGAAAGCCCTGGCTCTTCACTTCCCCGACAGCGGTCCCCTGATGGGAACGTTCTGCTCCACTGTAGCTTACCTCCTGTCCCCCGAAAACAGTCACCCCTGCCCCTGGAGAGTGGTTCAGAACGAGGCAGGAGCTCCGGAATGCCTCCATCGCAACGTCATCGAGTTCACCATCCCCAAATACGTCGGCACCGTTTCACTCATCGATCACTTCACCCACTTTGAACTCCACCTATGCACCCACCCCAAGAAGGCAGCTCAGCTGTGGAAACTGGCACACGACGCAGTGTTTGCAGGTCTCAAGAAAGCAGGGAAGACCATCGGCTACACAAACAACACTCCAGTCCCAGCCATCGTATGCCCCGCCCACCCCCGCCCAGCCAAACCCCACCCCGCCACTGTTGACAAGGACAGAGTGTGGACATGCTCAATCGACTCTGAAAAGTTTGGAGACGTTGACGAGGACTCTATTCCATGGCTGACCCTCTGCACGTCTACCTGTGAGTGTGGAGGTCCACCCACTGAGGGCTCTAATTGGAACAGTCTCATTATGCTTTTCTCTTTCCTTTCCCCCTACAGCTGCTGAGTCAGCCACGCCCTCTCTCTCCTCTTCATCTTCTGCAGTTCCCCCCACCTCCCAGCCTCCCCTCTCTGTCTCCACAGCTCCTGCCTCCTCTACCACTGCCACCACTACTACCAACACTCCTGGTGAGTCCTTGCATCTCTATGTGCCCTATTTTGTAAATAGTTGAGCTGTGTGTCTCATTCTTTGACCACCTTACAACTTCTGATGCACAAACTCCTGCTACCACTGTCTCTTCCTCCTCTTTAAAAAAACCTGCCATCTTCTGGTGAGTCTGCTAGTAAATCTTGTCAGCTCCGGTACACGTGGAGACTCAACAAGCCCTGTAGCTCATTGGATATTATGTAGATGTATCTTTATGAGGTTGTCCTTCTTACCCTCATCACAGACCACAAGCAGTGAGGAAGAAGATGAGTTGTCAGCAACAACACCTTGGCAGTCATATCAAGAGACCACCTCACTGCAGTGGGAGAAACTCCCACTTTCTGGGACTCAACAGAGCTAGAAGATAAGATCGCCAGATCCTACCCGGGAGACTACGGACTGCAGAAACAAGAGTGTCTGGAGGTGTGGAAGGAGGAGAGGGGAGAGAGGCACGTACCGAGCCTCATCTCGGCCGCAGAGGAGGCGAGAGACAAGGAGTTGGCTGACAACATCAGAGACATGTCAAAGAAGACGTGAACATTATACCACCAACCACCACTGTCTGTTGCTACACCACCCAGCATCCACTGTCTGTTTTCTCCTTACCATCCAAGCATTCACTGCACAACACAAAAGACTTGCACACGCTATACTGCCACCACTTTCTTCTCATCTTTTCTTCTCACCTCTATACTGCATCAGTTCTCATCTCTTATACCACACTCACTTTCTTCTCATCTCTGTGTTTTGTATACTGCAGTCCACTTTTGGAATCTATTGTTGTGATACACAAAGCTGTCAAAGGCACTTCCGAATAACGATATTCATTACCGCTGTGGTTGTCCACAGCATTCCACCACGAGGAGCTGTAGTGTGCAGTAGTCAGTTTGTATGCATGCAGGGAATCTTGCAACACGCCTATGGTGTGATAGTCATGTGACCCAATCTTGTCTTGAGTCACTCCATTGACAAAACCAGGTCCCATAGTTATGTATGGTATAACTTGCCTCTCGTTTCAAAGTGATTGTCTTTCAAAAGCCTAGGAACAAAGTCGGCATTATACATAATCCATCACACACAGCCTTCGTGTGTATTATCAGATACAGATTCTGCATTTACTAACTTGTGTTTTGCACTAATCTGGCATATTATGATCACTCAACACATACCCGTAATCACTGCTTACAAGTGTCACACAGCTACATCCCAGGGCCCCTAAATCACGTATTTCCATTGATGAATGAACTAGCGTCTCAATAGCAAATATCATTACAGAGAGGGACACACATATAATTTGTGTCTGTAATTTCAACAGTGTGTGTGCGTGAGTGTTACTCTATTACCAGCTGAGGCGTGCTGACTTAACTAGTGGCTAGAGCTTGAATCATAGTACAGCAAATGGTGTGTTGAGGAGACAGAGAGAGGAGAGAAGGAAGGAGAGAGAGGAGAGGAAGAAGATTGTTAGCCACACTCAGACAGCCTTGTCAAACACCTCATCTTAGGAGATGGAGGGCAGTCCTGCATAATGTGGAAGACAGGGTCGGAGAGAGATAGAAATTAATGATGGTTGGTAAACTACAGGTATACTAAAATCAAATGCATTCGCAAGCTAACACATTTAACTGTGTTAAAATCAAACAGAAATCACGCAATTCCGTGACAACACTCCCCCACCAGAGGTCAAGAGGTGACTCACGCTATAAAGAGTCTTCCTGTTGCCGACTGCCTGAGGGGAATCCCCTCCCGTCTCCCTGATCAGCCGCGGACGAGGCCACGCCCTCTTCTCTCACGGCAGACGGTGTTCTTCTTCCCAGAGAGTTCATCAGAGTTGTCTGTGCAGCCTGCAGGGGAGACAGTTTGAACTGCTAGTGGCCAGTTTATACAGCAAAAAGGACTACTCCAAATAAAGAACACCACTCTATAAAGGACAATTGACTAGCCCTAACTACTTCCTGAGAGGGCTTGAGGGCTTTGTAATGCATGTGGGTGGATTTCAAGGGTGAGCTGTCAAACCAACTGACTCCAATTAATGCACATGGGTGGCAAGGGCAGTGCAGGAAATGGTGCTACGGTCAGAATATTTAGAGAATTAGAAGACATGAAATTAGTCTTGAGTGAGCTCTGATGTGTCACTCATACATGTACGTGGGCAGGTCCTACTAATGTATGTAGATATGTAGGAAATGACGGATCATTGAACATACGTATGTGTAGGGAGGTGACACATCAACATGTACTGAGTTCTTCCACCACTACTGGTGTGTCATGCCACATTAGAAACTCCACTCACCTGTGGAAGACCAATTTCTGAGAAGTCTTTGTCACTCATCAACAACAGAGCTTCCAGATCTATTTCATTGGACTGTGGAGGAAAACGTGTGGTCACAAACATTCAGTTGAGGCAGTTGGCTGAATCACTCATACAGAGCAAGGCAGGGCATCTGGTCTAGAGAGGGCTCTACCAACTGAGGCAGCTCAGCTGGCTGGGCTGAATCACTCATACAGAGCAAGGCAGAGCACTCTGTGTTCTAGAGAGGGCTCTACCAACTGAGGCAGCTCAGCTGGCTGGGCTGAATCACTCATACAGAGCAAGGCAGAGCACTCTGTGTTCTAGAGAGGGCTCTACCAACTGAGCTACTGAGATTATTGTCATCTACAAACCTGAAAAAGCTCCATGTGTTCAGTAAGCCCAACCCTTGAGAGCAGGCTCTGCAGAGTGTCTTGTGATGTAATGGTGATGTCATTGGTCTCTGTCATCCCAGAACTCCTACAAGGTGAAGAAGATTGTCTGTTAGATTTGTACTCCATTCCTGAGCCCTGATTGTGGTAAATGTCTGGGTTACTAGCTGCACCAAATATGGGCACACAAGGGCCACACCACCAGACTTGTTTTTACACAGCTCCAGTAATGATATTCATGAGTGACAGAAAAGGTTTTTCTGGTTTCTGCTTATTAATACAGACCTGGTGTGGTTTAGGCCAACATCCTTCACTACATTTTCAGGGCCACACAGACCAGTCTGGGTTAGGCATGTGTCAGTTTAAAGTAACCACGTATTCCCTAAAATATTTGGTAGACTAAAGTCTGACATTTGAAGGATGGCTTTGATTAAACATATAACTAGTTGCACAACACATGAAGGAAAAGATATTGTCCAAGTTTTGGCCATCATGAAGCCCAAGACAGTTGGGAAAAGCACAAACACCAGCTGATAATCAGAGGTACTTACGCAGAGACTGGATGGAGGTACCAGACTTGCTCGGGGATCTGTCGAGGAATCTGATTGGTCCTCACCGGATGTTCGTACGGCTGTTTCCGGAACCCAAAATAGGACCCTCTGAACACGAGGGGGAAGGATGTTCCAAACCACATGCACAGCAGAGCCAGCATGGTGGTGAACAGTACCTGCAGGGAGAGGTCATGTGATCAGTCATGTGATCTACTGTACCTATTGTTCTACACGAGAGTCACATGACCAAAACAATAATACCATCAGCAATACTCACTGCTCCAGAGAGCATATCACGTGACAGTCACATGACTAAAAGTGACATCATCACTGCTACTCACAGCTCTGGACGAAACAGTACAACATTATTTTACGTATAATTCACTGACGGGTTCTCCATACATTACCTTGGTGTAGTAGTAGATGATGGCGTAGGCCATGACATAGTAGCTGGCTGAACCTGAGAGGGAGAAGGACCTCCACCACCAATGGTAGTCCTGTGGGGGGAACATGCAGAGGGAGGTGGGAGAGAGACAATGGAAAGAGAAAAGTTGACAAAATTCCTCAGCATACACGCATGCACACTGCAAAAAGCAACAGGGCTTCAAGTTTATGTGTGTAGTTTAAATTACTCGTTTCCACAGAGTGTTCTCCCCAGATGAAGAAGTTGAGGAAGAAGCCCATGCCAAAGACGGCGGAGGGATAGAGAGTGGCGGTCAGCAGAGCGCCTTTCTTCCAGTCGGCCCCTTTCAGGGTCTTGAACAATCAGGTAGCCTGCAGTAGCTCTGACGGAGAGAGAGGGAGGGAGCTGAGCCACTTGTGTAGTGTTACGGAGCGAGATTATGGGAGCTCTTTGCCAGTGACGGAGCGGAAAAGGAGAGGAACCAGACACCGGAATAAGCTCAGTGCAAGAAAATGAGGGTTCAAAACTATACTTGTATGTACTTATTGTGTGAACATTGAAACAGAAAGAAAGGAGAGCAAAGGGAGTTAATTCTCACCTCATGAACATGAAGAGAACAATGGCGGCTGTCATCAGAGCACCTGGACTGGCCGGAGACAACATTCCAAACATTGCAAACACTGCGACAGAACAACAAACACAAAAACAAACAATGTATCAAGATGTTCAATAACGAGCTAAATCCCTCGGGGCACAATCTTCTGCACCTTGTAGGAGTTCTGGGTTGACAGAGACCCTGTAATGTCAATAATCCACTACCATTTTGTCTCCCACACCATAAGCCCTTGTCAACAAGCTAAGACATCGAGGGTTGCTTAGGACCCTGGACTTGACACTCTTTACCTTTGCTATCCACGACAAGCACAAGTACAAACACAAAACAAACAATGTATCAAGATGTTCAATAACGAGCTAAATCCCTCGGGGCACTTCACCTAGTGTCCTTGCTTCGTTTGTTCTCTTGTCTTACAGTCGACTCATTTTGGTGTCATTTCTGCTAATGACACGTATCACTCCATTTGTAAAAGAGAATGAGAAAGGTTTGCATGTTGGACAGAACTATTCTCTTATTAGAGTCCAAGCCATGCCTTCTATGTTATGTTGTCTACCACTTAATTCATTCCCACCAGCCATTATGTTATGTACTGTCACAACAAAAGTTCAAATCTACATCCAGTGTTAGATCTACAGTATGATAAACAGACCAGTGTAGTGTATGGGAATAGAGTGGACCTCCTCTGGGACGATGGGATCATCACAGGCGTTCACCAGGAGGAGAGGGAAATCAGTCACGGTCTCCATCAGTTCCACACAGGACATCCACTGCCAGAGATCCCTCACACTCTCAAACCCCAGCACTCTCCTAGTGTAGTATTCGTCAAGTTCGTGTATAGACTTAGCCCTCCACAGGAGAGCTTCGTTGCTGGGTCCAGCAATTTTCGTCACGTCCAACGCAAACCCGTTGCAGTCGTGACCTCTGTGAGTGATTTTGCTGTTTCGTCCGGCGGGGTTCCGGAGGTTAACGAGAGGGGTTTCCCCCAGGAGTTGCGAGCGATGTCGCCGCATGAGGGAGAGTTGTTTGGAGGTGATGTGATGTGAGTAGAGTTTGGAGAGGTTTGATGTACTGGGGAATATACCAATGGCTCTAAACAAGGAGGGAGAGAGAGAGGAAAGAAGGATAACTTGAGCTAATAATTATTCGAAACAAATGAACAGTTTGTACAGAGAATGGTGAAAGATGTAACAATAGAAGTATAAAGAGGCTTGGGAGTTGATATTGAGACAAAATGAGAGATAAAGATAGCTTTGTAGCTGAGTAAAGATGGGAAAAGGAGTTTGGAATTGAAGCAAGATATTTTTAGGGAATTGAAGCAACGAAGGTAAGAAAGGGCTACTTAGGAAGATAAAACAGATTAAGCTAGGGAATGTAGTAAGAATGAAAGCACAGGAGTAGGTAGAAGAGAGAGGAAAAGAGAGGACATGGAGGAGTAGGGATGTCTTACTGGTTGGGGTCATAACCCTGGCAGACTGACACGGCACAGAGAAAGTGTGACCTCCAGTGGACCCTCTCTCCAATGAACCTGACACCAATGTTGGCTCCGAGGGAGAAGCCCACCAGGACCCACTGTGATGAGGGATGACGGGAGAGTAAATCCTCAAACACTGCGGCAAGGTCCCCCGTCCCTCCTGCAGTAATAACACCAACAGCAACAATATCTATCGTGGGGATTCATGCTGAGCTAGTTCACTTCCTACAATATTGTCCAAGGCTGAATTTTGCCAGCAGATGTGCGTAATTGATTCTCCGTAATTTACAGAGCATTTGGAGACAGAACACAGTGCCACAATAAGGACAAAACAACAAACGGACTGATTTAGAAAATGTTTTTATTGAATCACACTCAAAACTGCTAGTGCCGACCCCTCTCTAAGGACACTCCTGAATATAGGACACCACTTTAACACGAGACCGCTCTTGCACACAATTTAACCCCTAGAAAAGGACACCTCACACAATTACAATACACATGTATGCTCAATTTCTTTAGTGCATGAATTAAAGGGGTTCCAATGTTATGTGATTGCCATTACCTCATCTTACCATAAGTGAATAGCCTGTTCCCAGTGACAGGCACATCTGTGAGAGTACCCACATGGTTGAGAACAGCCACATTATGTCCATTGCTCAGTAGGTAGTGGACAAATGATCTGATGTAGAATGTCTCGCTGCAGTTTCCTATGCCTATAATATAGTGAGAGAGAAGTTCAAGCTTGCACAGAGTTTGGCTGCAATAACAAAGCCACACCCCCCACTCCCATACAAGTTCTCTGTACAGTAATGTGTGTGTTGCATGACTTGTCAATAAAAAAAAATTCCTGCCTGTCTTCAGCAAGGGCAGGCTTTCCTCAAAGCAACAGCATATCATACCTCACAACCACACAAGGTTTCTAACATGTAAAGGACACGATACACAATGAAACTCTATGAGATTAAGTCTCATGCAACTTCAAATGGGTATGATAGACCATTCAACTCAGCTGCACGAAATAGAAGGAATTTCTATTACATCTCATGGACACATGATATTCATACATTGAGAATGCTTGAGACAAACTCTCATACAAATGTTTGGTGTCGTGTGTATATATAATGGTCCTGCATGAGCACATATATACCAGGACAGAGGAGGAAGAAGAGGGAGGAGGCGGTGGGGTGCTGTGGCTGGTAGAGGTCATAGGTCACAGTGGACCCATCGGGAGTGGAGAGAGACTGTCTATCTCCCACGGGAGATGGGACAAAGACGTGGCCCACGAGGACGTTGTAGGCCGTCTGGATATGACCACTGGCTCCCCACAACAGTGGAGGTCTGTACCTGCACTCACAGAAATAAAGGCAAATTTACACGTGTCAGAGAATGCATTTCTCAAAAATGGACACCATGTTTACGAACTTAACGTGAT